CAGAGGATTGCAAAGCCGAGGATGCCCAAGAGATGATAGATGAAGTCCCGACTAAGGTGAACGAGGTGCATGAGCAAGAAGGAAAGGAACCAATGGTCGAGATGGTTGTGGCTAATTCAGAAGAGAAGATGGAGAGTCCGATTGAGGCTCATGAGGTGGTTACACTCAAGGAGGAGAGTAGTGCACTACTCCAAAGAGACCGTCCTATTAAGTGTGAAGATCCCGATGGATTTTATATCGATTGTGCAGATGAAGAATCATATACCGGGAAAGGGCTATGCGATTTAGGGGCGGGCGTCAACTTGATGCCACTCTCTGTTTTTGAGAAGTTGAGATTGGAGAAGCTTCGACCGACCATGATCACGCTTCAGATGGCAGATAAATCCCAAGTTCGTCCCATAGGAATTGTAGAGGATGTTTGGTTGACAGTCGATGGAATTAAGTTTCCGACGGATTTTGTGGTGGTAGATATGAAGGATAACGGTGATACACCGTTGATTTTAGGAAGACCATTCCTAGCCACCGGACGAGTACTCATTGACATGGAGCTTGGTGAGATAACATTTCGAGCCTATGATGAATATCGAACTTTTACACTTGCTCGTGGTTGGAAATTTCAAGAACCAAAAGATGGTAGCCGACGCCATGAGAAGATCAAGGAAGAGATTGGGTTGAACGGAAATGACCCTTATTGAGAGCCCGGAAGATGTCTAGCTAAAGACGTTAAATTAAGCGCTTGTTGGGAGGCAACCCATCGTTTATCGTTTTTATTTTTTTTTTATTTTTTTTTTATTTATTTATTTTTTTTCTCTAAAAAAATCTGGAAAAAGAAAATAAAAAGTGAAAAAAAATAAAAAAAATAAAAAATGGTGGTGATCGAGTGTTCGAGTGAAGCATGGAAAAGATGTTCGTGCTCAAGGGTGCAAGGATTGCTTACGGTGGAGGTCGCTCGACTTTTCGGTTAGTTACTTGAGATATGCCATTTATTTTCTTCAGACTTCATTCTTTTCCAAAGAATAAGTTTGGGGGAGAGAGGTGTCGTATATCTTGAGTTTTTATCGCTTTATTGCATATCATATATTTGCTTGCATTAGTTTTAATTTTTTTTTATGATTTTTTTTATACTATTTTATTTTTTAGGATGCACGTTTATTTGCTTTATTAGATTAGTAATAAATTTGCTTGAGTCGATTCCTTGTGTATTTCTTTTTGCTTTGGCTGAATGATGGATAAAACTTGAATAGTGAATGGTTATTTGATGTGACTAAGAAATTGTGATGGGACTGTAAAAGTCATGCCTAGATGAAAATGCTTGTGAGCCTTGAATTAGCGATATATTGAGCCTAGAGAGATTCGAGCCTTTATTCTTTGTCTGTGAGTGTCAATTGAATACCCGAGTTATTAGAATTTGCCTTGATTCTACGCTTGGAAAAATGCATTGATGATTTTGAGCTTTAAAAATGATTTAGGCGGTTCTTGAATTTAGCTCGTTTGGCCTTTTTCTTTGTCCTTGAAAATATTTTCCACTAGTAGCCCGTTTGAGCCTTAAACCTTTTTCTTGTCAACCGGTTTATCTTATTTATTTTGAGAGTTGACTGATATTTGGGATGTATGGGGATAACGGAGTTATTTATTGGATGATTGGGTATGAAATAAGGTATGATTGAGTTGCATTTACTGTGTTTGACCGAAAAATAAAAATGATGAAAAAAAAAGAAGAAAAAAATGATAATAAAGAGAGCTCGCAAGTCGAATTGTCGGGATTCTACTCCTCTTACTAGTCGATTTATTTTGACATGTAATGAGTAATGGGAAACCACTCTAGGACACTTGGATGACCTCCAATGTTTATACCTAGAGAATGTTGTCCATGCAGTTTGATTTTGTTTGGAAAAAAATGGAACTCTCTAGAAAAAAAAAAAAGAGAAAAAAATATGGTCAAGTACTCCCTTTGCGATTTGAATTGAGCATATATGAGTTGTGTACGGTTTATTATGGTTTGGGATAGAGAAACGGTTTTAATGGTGGGATATGTCGAGTAGTCTATTTACTCGAATGGTATGATTGTTTATTTGAGCCACTTAACCCATATATATCTTACCCTTGACCGAATAGCCTACATTACAACCTGGAAAGACCTTTTGATTTAAAGCTCATGATTATTGGTTGTGTTTGAAGTAGAGTGTTAGATGATTGGCAAACATATAGTTAACTGGGTGTTCATGTGACTTGAGCGTGTCCTTCTCTCTTTTATATATTGATGACATGTGAGTGAGGCACTTATATATTCCTATTTGAGAGTTCGTTGATTCAAGGTGGATACAAGTTAATAGTCAAAGCATGATAATTATGATCTTTCGAATTTTTCTCGGTTGCATTGAAGGACTTGAAGCTGTTCTAGTTTGATATCACTCATTATGCTTGAGTCTGATTTTCTTATTCTTGTTCGGGGACGAACAAGGGTTTCAGTTTGGGGGAGTTGATATTCATCATATTTTCATGCATTATGAGTGATATATTGTGATATTTGGCCCTGGTTATCGTGTGATTGTGCACCAATTCGTTTTATTTATTAAACTATGATAGAGGTGTTTTTGTCGTTGTTTTTGCAGGAAATATGCCCGGAAATGCGTTGGAGATGGAATCGGGACGAAAAACGGCGAAAACGGGTGCAGAAGAGGTCACACGACTCGTGTGGGTAGTGACACGGGTCGTGTGGGTTGAGAAAATAAGAAACGCAGCTACGGCTTTTTCACACGGGTCGTGTGGCTTGTCACACGGGTCGTGTGGCCTCACACGACTCGTGTGACCCGGTCGTGTGACCAGTCGTGTGAGTCTGAAAGTTCGCCGAAACGTTGAGAAAAGTCACACGACTCGTGTGGCATGTGACACGACTCGTGTGACGCGCAGACCAGACCTGCGGGGAATAGGATTCTTGTGCGATTTCTTCCCTTTTTCGACCCAGAATTGCCCTACAGTATAAAACAGACCTTAGGAACTCGTTTTTGGGACTTTTGACACCATTGGAGGCCTAGAGAAAGCACGAAACACACGAGGGATTCGAGGAAGTCAAGATTGAAGATTCGGGAACTAACGGCGACAATAGTTCTTCTTTCTTTTCTCTTTTTCTTCTTCATTGAACTCATGGATTTATTTATTTTGAGTTTTGAGAATATGTTTAGTAGCTAAACCTATTAGATTCTAGGATTTGTTAGTACTCGGATTAATCTATGATTTAGTTTTTATTGCTTTCATTCCGGTTTATCTTTCGTTTATAAATTTCTTGTGCTTATTATTATTGTGTGAGTAGATGGCCACTATGAATGCATATTTGTAATCGATTTGAGACCGAGAGGAGATAATTGATTGCTAGAATTGGGAGATTTATAACGTAAGAGAATAAACAGACCGAGAGGTTGATAGGACCTTGCGAGAGAACGAAAATCCTAGGAACTTATGGGAGTTAGTTGTTCATCTTGAGACCGAGAGGAGATAGATAACAATTAATATCTACGATTTGACTTGTTCGAGAGAAAGGTTTGAAATCAATTTAGCGATTATCTCTACGATTGGTAAAATTAAATAAGGTTTGTTTGAATATAAACGTTTCATGAATTAATTCCGAGGAAAGCATAACCTAGAATCTATCTTTTGTCTATTTTTATTTTTATTTTTAGTTAGATTAGTTCTTAGTTTAATTTCTTAGTTAATAATCATCATCCAATTCATTAGTCTAGATAATATTTAGTCGTTATTATTTTAGTACTTAATTAATTTAACTACAATCTCTGTGGAATACGACCTTGCTCGCCACTACCTATAGCTACGCCGTACACTTGCGGATAGCGAAAATAATTAGCGAACAAGTTTTTGGCGCCGTTGCTAGGTTAGTTGTAGTTGTCTGATGCTGTTAGGTTAGTTGTATTTTATTGCTAGGATATTTCTTTCTAGGATTTGAACCTGGTACCTCATGGAAGCAAGACAAGCAATGCAACCACTACACCACTCAAGGTTGAGTGTCTTTTGTTGCTAGGTTATTTATTTCAATGCAACGGGTCAACGTCGGAAGTCAACGGTCAACGTCGGAGTCAACGGTCAACGCCAGAGTCAACTAATAATTATTTTATTATTTAATTAATGTATATTTTAATTGATTTTGATCTAGATAAAATGAGTGGCTAAGATTGAGTCTCACGTACTCATTTTAAGGAGTGGTCTCATTAGATCCGTCCCCCTATATATATATATATTATATTTCATGATGATTTTTTATTTGCTTTCAACTATGACAGTTTTAAATAAAGTGAATAAAATAACAACACAAAATATCATTGTGCAATAAGAAAAGTAAAACAAATAAATAATATAAATAAAGTTGAAATAGTTCCAATATCAATGTAAAACAATATAAATGGAAAAGAATAATGAAAACTTTTGTACAAATGGCGAACAATAAAAAGCAAACACCATTCGCACTGGTCATTTTCTCTCTTATATATATCACTTCTCGACAAGGCCACCATGGTCATCATCCTCACCATCCATTTGCTTCACTTACTCCATCGTCCTAAAATATATTTAATCAAACGATCATAAGCAACCTATAATACATATTTAATCAACAACCATAACCAACCTAGAATACTACAATACTCAACAATCTAAAACATTATTCAACTACAAAAAACAGAAAAAAAAAGGAACGCATTCCAGTAACATCACTTTCACATAAATTTATATAAATCATGGGCAAAACCCCATTCTATATGAATTCATATACATTTACATAAATTCATACAATTCCAGTAATGCATTCTAATAACAGCACTTCCAGGCAAAACACACACGAATAATAACAACAACTTTATATCATAAATAACAAATAAATCATGGGCAAAACATCTTAACAATACTTTCACATTCAGGTCTAAACAATTAATTTCATTTAACGGAGCAAGATTCAAATCACGAGCTAATGATTCCAAAAAATGGCTAAACTTATCTAAAGTTGCCTTATCTGGTCCAATTGGTTTACACGATTCATTCAAAATGACAGGCAAACGATTTTCAATAGTGCGCTCGCGGATATCTTTGCCCAAACTTGGCCCCCTTGTTCGTTTCTTTATCATGTAGAATTTTACAACAATTAAATAAAAAAAAGATAAATCATATACTATATGTCCATACGGTATGTCCATCAATTATAATGTCAAGTCTATCCCAAAAGAGTAAATTAAAAAATCGAGAAACATATATTAAATGTAACAGACAAGCAAAACACACTTATCCTTAACCTTACCTGGTAGATTATGTCATTCTTCGTCAGAAAATGGTTCGTTTATATTCTCCACTGCATCATCTTCGATTTCTTTTGGATTCATATCATCTTCTCCTTCAACAACATATTCATGTAAGCTTTCATAAGCTTCATTTTCTTCAACTATAATTACTCCAATACAACCTACACCATTCTCGTTACTTGACTTTCCTGGTTCGCGTTCCTCTTCATCAGGGATATATTCATCATCATTTGCTACATCATCCTTAGAAATAACTTTGTTTATCTCCCTCCGTTTCTGGTGCTTTCTTGAAACCTCATAAGCAAGAGTTTTTATCCTAACTCTTCCATTCTTCTTTGATTTTCAGCCATTTGTTTTAACCTTTGCATCTCATAGTCTGACATCTTCAACTGTAATAAATTTTACAAAGTGAGAAACTTAACCTTTAGTTGATTTAGGCATCTAAACATATGCATATTTATAACAAAAGCACAATAAATCATACGAGGCATGTTTACAATAAGTGTAACTAACATAAATTATTCAATTTATCCTCCTAAAACTCACTGGTTCATATTAAAAATTCAGCAACATCCAACATTCTTGCACCAGACACACATACACATATAAAAAGCAGAAAAAGAAAAATAAAATCTTTCTCTATCCAGCAAGCTAATTATGAAGGTTCTTCATTCTTGCTTCCAAACACTTTTAAGCTTTTATATTAATTTGCAAACACCATCAACTTTTGAGCATAATAACACCGCATTTATCACTTATGATCCTGCTCAAAAGGAAATTACACAGCCTAATTACCTAAAATCCTTTCTTGTCTAAATTTTCGATGCAAATTAAGAGAAAACAAGAAAAATGCTGACATTCTCTACTTATCTCTTTCTCTGGGGGTCATCTTTTCAGCAAGGTATGATTCTCTGTTGGTGTTAATTACCTTATCACATTTATGAAGAGAGTAAAAGATTCTGCATTCTACACCATACTAAAAACGTACACTTGAATAAGAAAGAAGCAAATTTTGGGCTCCTAAATTAATAGATATTTTAGTACTCTAGTCCATTAGTATTGTACCAAACAGAAGTCACACTCATATGAACATGTGACAAATTGTTCAAATTGCACCAAACAAAAGTCACACTCATCTGAAGAAAAAATTCCAAACATTATAATAATAGCAAAGATTGATATTCTGTAGAATAATCAAATTCTTATACTCCAATGAACATATGAAAATACACATCATGAGAGCAGAAAGAAGAAAAAAATCTAAATTAAATTGTATTCATGGAGTAGCAAAAGTTTAGTAGAATTTGGCATCATGTTTCAATAATGCAATTCCATAAAATTTACCGAAAGCACAAGCGAGTTTTAAGAGATTGAGATTTGTAACTTGTTTTTGCTCATTCCAACTAGGGGTTGGTTAACTCTGAAATTGATTCCTTCTATCTTTGTACCTTCGAAAATATAACCGCCACGACTTGAAAATATGGATGTATTGGGAGAGAATTTACCGCCATGATTTTTTTTTTTTTTCGGAAAATGGAGTGTATCAATTTTGGGGGATTTCACATAACTGAAGAAATGAGGTCCGTGATCCGCACAAGGAAGGTGGGGTGTAGTGGTGAGATAAGCACCACCCCCATCATCCCAACACAACCAAATACCCCCCGCATAACCTACAGGATCAACAATGCAGGTTTTGGGAAATTTCAGTTTGGGAAAGGGATATGAAAAGACTAATTAGTACAATTTCTTTTGAAAATGATATCTATATAAAAAACTAAAGGCAATGAATTAATTTGGGTGATGAATTTAATTTTCAATCTAAAATTAATTTGGATGATAAAAACACATAAGAGCATCTCCAATGCTCAAATGTAATTGTATAAATTACACTTTACAGTAACAAATTTAGTCATTTCTCTACTTTTAATCCTCCAATGCACAAAGTTAACACAAATGTAGTGATGAGGTGGACATATTAAATGTATACAATGTAGAGAAGAATGTGGTTCATCCACATTCTCTTTCACATCCTAGCCAACCAATAGAGAGAGGTGAGAAAAATATTATTACCATTTTTAAAATATCTAATTATTTAATTTATTTTTTTTCATATTTATAATTTGTTTATTTTGGCCAAGTGGATAATGTTGTGATTGATTACATTATGCATTGGAGATAATTTTGTAGATTTAAAGTTGTAAACTTAACAATTATCTTATGTGGTTCACAATCCATCTAATAAATTGACATTTGTCAAAATTTATGTAATAACAACATTGAAGCATTGGAGATGCTCTAACAATCTTATTTTCACCATCTTATAATCCCAATATGTATCTAAAGTAATTTCGTATCATTTTCAAATTTTATGATTTTCACATAACAATGCTTGTGACATTTTCTTTATTTACAAAAATATTATATTTTATTTTAATAAATGAGTGTAAAAATGTGTTATTAATTAATTAATAAATGTTACATGAAGTATGGTTTAACTAAAATGATACATATTGTGTGCTGCATTAAAAAAAACTACCAAAAATATTACTTATGAAGTATTACCTTTTAAAAAATGATACATACAAGTGCTACAGATTCATAAAATGCTACAAAAATGTTACCTAAATATTGCATTGTAAAATATGTTACAAATACATGTTACATAAAATCCCTGGTTCAAAATGTGTTACAAGTTAATGTTACAAGTTAATTTCCTAGAACCTAAGTGCTTGCATGTTTCTTTTTGTTTGTGTCTTTTTGCAGGTTTTGAACACTCTGATACAAGTAAAGTCTAGAACTTACTTCCAAGCGTGCATCTTGTAGTTAATTACTTGCATCTCCTCAGGTAATTTAAGTTAAAATTAACCTCAGTCATCTTGTTAGAATGTCTAGGATTTTATTTTCTATTTTTATACTTTCGACAACTGGATTGTAAACGAAGTCCGAATCACCTTCCTTCGAGAAGACGACCCGAGGTAACAAAGCTCTAAATTACCTTTCTTCAATCGTACTCGGCCAAAAACTACAAAACAAAAGGCATGGGTGATCAAATTGCCTTTTAGAACTGGACCACGAGTGGGGTGGTCAGGTGAGCGCAGATTTTTGGTCACTTCTTGAACGAGTTTACCAGGTGTGAGTCCGTTCTGACGCTGTTAGGATATCCAATGAGTTAAGGCCTGGTTAGGAGAAATGAGGTTTTCGTTCGATGGGGAGAGAAGGGATCTTCATTGGAGCAACAGGTTGTGGCGGTTACAGGTGGATCGGTGGGTGTGTAGGGAGGTACGGTGAACCTCGATTGTTCAGACGGACCAACTAGAGGATCCAGAGGTGAGAGCCATAGGTGAGCAAGTTATACAACTCATGAAGGTGGATCCAGATCAGATAATTTCAGAGGCAATACGTAGGGCACGAAACCTTCAATTTAACGTGGTGGTGGAACAACCTAACTTGGTGGTGGAGCAGCCCAACCCGATGGTCATTGCAAGTAGGAGGTGAGAGAAAGAGGGAGGGGGGGGTAGAGATCAATCACGTCTCTGGTTGTACTTTAGGCCGCTACGAGATGTGACCTTGGAGAGGATAGCGAAAAAAATCAGGGAGCTCCAAGATAAGGTGGAAGGAAGGAGACAACCTCGTGTCTAGGGTCATCCTTTCTCCGATGAGGTGTTGGATGCAGATCAACTTCTCAACTTCCGAGAGCCAAGTATGGTGTACGACGGATCTACAGATCAAGCTAGACACCTGAGTGGCTTTGAGAATGTATCGGTGTGTCACATGTACAATGATGCAGTCTGTTGCAGGGCGTTCTTTACCACCTTGAAAGGCTCCGCTTAGGATCGGTTCCATCAATTACTAGCGGGATTGATCTAAAACTTTGATGCACCACATATCCACGTAAATTATCATTTTGTTCAATTCTATGCTAATGTAAAGTTTTTTTTTTTTTTTCTTTTTTCTTTTTTTGGGAACCTGCAACATAGACGGGTAATTATTGAGTTGTCCATATTACATGTAGACCCATTTTTTCTATTTAAAAATACTACATGATAATTTTTAATTTTTTCCTTCTATGTATGTGCATCACATGTATTTGTTCAACTTTCACATATTTTGATTTTTGATTAATCGATACAATCTTCTAGTTTTCGGTGATATTACATAATATACTCCGTGTACATTATTTTTTTAAGTGAAAATTAGCTAGACCATGGGCAACCGAGTTAAAATTTCTACCAATATAACAACAAGACCCACAGTCTAAAAGAAACAAAAGCGATAATATGTCCGCATAAATATGATGCAAAGGATCATTTGGCGACATATCTAACAGACCACAAACAACCGCCAGGGCGTCTGTCTTGGCATATTGAATTGAGAATCCTGCATCAAGCGCAAAACGGAGGCCGAACCTGAGGGATAGGGCTTCGGCTGTAATTGATGAGAAAGAGCCCGAAATATGAGTTGTAAAAGCAGCCCAACACACGCCTTCCGAGTCGCCTATCCACCCGCCTAATCCGATTCTCGAATCATGGACCGCCGCATCGCAAATTAACGTGAGACCATTATTGCATTTTCCCGGCCCGTACCACCTGTCGACTGATGGTTGATTCAATGAGCGCTCTATCATGATCCGCCCCGACCGAACTTTCTCAGCCTCTTCTCGCCATACATTCCCAAAAGTCCATGCTTGCTCCACCGTTCTGCCTTTCAAACCATGATTAATGCGATTACGTTCATGCCAAATAATCCACAAGCAATAAGCAAATAATGAAAAATCATCCCCACGATCGCTTTCCAAGATCTCACAGAAGATAGAAGCAAAGCTCAATCCACGTACCCGAACGAGTGTATCCCACCAGCCTGCTAGTTTCCAAAACCTTTTAACCCAAAAACAGTCAAAAAAAGCGTGAACATTAGATTCCCAGCAAGAGCACCTGGGGCATTTTCCGTCCACCCGAATATGTCGCCGACCCAGATTTTCCGATGTTGGAATTGCCAAATTACTCACCTTCCATAAAAACATTTTTATCTTCGGTAAAATATTAATTTTCCACAAGGCTTTCCACCACCTGTCTTGAGAAGAAGAAGAAGGAACTTTCGAGTTATCAAATTGTCGTTGCGAAATCAAATGGTAGCCACTTTTTACTGTATATTCACCCTTTTTTGAATAGTGCCAGATGAGGTGATCAGAAGTGTTGTTCAGACTCAAAGGAATAGAAAGAATTTCTCGCGAGTCTATTGGCAAAAAAACTCTATTGATTAATCTATTATCTAACAAATTTATAAAACAGATGCAGACAAATCACTCGATTTTAAGAGATGATTAAAAAAATTAAAATATAAAATCTCATTAATATATTTTTGAAATTAATTTGATCTAATTGATAAAATAAATTATATCTTTAAAATTTAAAATAATTAATATATGAATAAATGAATGAAAAATTTAAATTAGGGAATACTCTTGAATTAGGGAAATTTAAGATATTATCCTCCCTCACTGTGTGCTAACTTGGGTGTCTGAATACTAACGCCGGGAGATCCTCCCGACCCTTTTTGCAGGTAACCAACTTTTTTTAGTCAATCAAAGTTTTACAACAACCGGCTCACCTCATATCTACGCTACCTGCACATCAGTGTTGATCTCAAAAAAACATATATACTAATATATTTTGTGTATACTTTGAAAGGATACGTACAAAATCACCTTTAAATCTATATTAAGTTTATTTAATAGTTTAATATGTTCGTTTAGTCCAATATTTAATTTTTAAAAATAAAACATTTAACTTAATAAAATAACTTGATATGATCGTTTAGTCCAGCGTTTAATTATAAAAATAACGAATTTATTTAGTCCAACATTTAATTTTAAAAAATAACACTGATTTAATACAAAACTAATGTTTGAAAAATAAAAACCCTCTATTATACGAAAATAAAAACAAATTATAGAAATTACAGTAACGTCTCCCTCTTTCACATAAACGAGAGAGTACCACAAGACGAGAGACCAAAGACATTTGTGGAAATTCTTCTTGGCCATTATGCAATTGAAACCCATCAACGCCTTGGCAACAACGCTCATGTTCGGCTTTGCACTGATCGTCGTCTTCCTCACAGGCTTTCTTGAATTCCCATCCGCCAAATTCTTAATCCCATCGCCCAAAGACTCGATTACCTTGTCCCCGTCAAATTCGTTTCCAGACCCCTTCAAAGACTTGTTCAAAGCTTTCAAGATTTGGGATTCGCAGGTCGGCTGTTCCAAATTCAGTGAAAAACACGAGGATTTGCTGAGAAATGGGTCAAAGATCGCGTCTTTACAGAATGCCGATGGTGAGATCAGGTGCGGCGACTTGCAGATGAAGCACGTCAGTGTTCTGGTCAAAGGGTGGACTTGGATTCCGGACAACATGGATAATCTGTACAGCTGTAGATGTGGGCTGAGCTGCTTGTGGACTAAATCTCAAGTTCTTGCTGATAACCCTGATGCAATGTTGTTCGAAACTACGACTCCTCCGTTTCGGGTGATTATATATTTTAGCATTTTTTTTTTCAGCTTAATTTTTGTTCTTAGGAAAATTTTAGCCCTGGATTATTTTTTCTGCATATGAATGTTGTGTAGTTTGCCCTTTTATATATTCTTGGTAAAGCATTGTTCTTTATCTTAACCAGTGATACTCTGTGATCTGGGTTTGATACCATGATTTGGCTGCTGTAGCATCTGCTGATTATCCGATGTATGTATTTGTAACCTTATAGCAATTAATCTGGGTCCTGTTTATGTAATCAGTTGGTAAAATAAAATGTTGAATCTGCGGTGAGCATAGGAATAATGCTCATGAATCTGGAGTGGCCAGCCCATGCCTTTGATAGTTATCAGGACTTATGAATCTGCGGTGAGCATAGGAATAATGCTCTCGATTGACTGCTGTCATTTGGATTTTCCTGCAAATGTATTAGTGGACCAGAATTTGCATATTAGATTTCGTCTGTGCAGCAATAAAATGTTTCTTATTTTTGTTAGGCATGTCATTGATCAATGTTCTGTAGGATAATGTAACTAAAAACTAAGGAGACATATTACACTTTTCTTATAACTCCTTTGACAGTATATTACTCAACTCCCATATCTTTATCGCTTAACTGTTTAGTCAAGGTTTTTGGTGCTGTCTGGGGTTGAGCTCTATGTGTTTACTATCGAGGACCCTGTAATAAGTGAAGTTGAATTACTAATGTTGTTTCCAATAAGTGAAGATATGGAAGTTGAATTACTAAGATTTACTTTGTAAAGGGATCATATCGAAGTGGGTTACCGAGAAAATTAGAAACTAGGGATTCTGAATTTTGATAATTTTCTAGTTTTTCACTCGAGTACTATGGAGAATTACGCATTAGCGTTCTCCTCCTATTCAACTTTAATCATATAGTTTTGACTCTATGCGTGTGGGTAGTGAGATCATAGTTAAGCTTCGTGACTCTCACTGTTATCTTTACATTTAACAGAGACTAGCAGGTCACCCTCTTCGTATATATATGGATCTTGAAGCTGGTAGGAAAAGGTCAGGCTATGATGACATTTTTATCAGCTATCATGCCAAAGACGATGTCCAGTCCACTTATGCCGGGGCCCTCTTTCACAACAACCGGAATTACCAGTTATCTCCTATTAAGAACAAGGTAAGTCATTTTACACGACCTCCCCAAAAATTGATGTTTTAGAAAGTTTCACTCGCATTATGAAACGTCATAAAACGACTCATTTATCCTTATTTTTGTAGTAGTTGTTATATCACTACACATAATTATGTTTGAATAGAGGGAGTAAATACAAAAACAACAACATCAACAACATCATAGCCTTTAGTCCCAAGCAAGTCGGGGTAGGCTAGAGATGAAACCCAAGAGAAACACAAAAAGACTCGAACCAGGAAGAGATAAAAAAAAAACGAGAGAGAGAGAAAGGAGCAAAAGTCACAGTTCTGGCACGTTGATAGCGAGCCTCCAAGCGCTCCTATCCACTGCTAAATCCTTGGAGATATTCCAATCTTTAAGGTCTCTCTTAACCGACTCTTCCCAAGTGAGTTTAGGCCGACCTCTACCTCTCTTAACATCCTCGACCCGCTGTAGAACTCCCCTACGCACCTGTGCATCAGGAGGCCTCCGTTGGACATGTCCGAACCACCTCAGCCGATGTTGAACCAATTTCTCCTCAATTGGAGCCACCCTGACCCTATCTCGAATATCTTCATTCCGGATTCTATCCCTTCTTGTGTGCCTGCAGAGCCAACGCAACATACGCATCTCTGCTATACTTAGTTGTTGGACATGTTGTCTTTTTGTAGGCCAACATTCAGCACCGTATAGCATCGCCGGGCGAATCGCCGTCCTATAGAACTTACCTTTTAGCCTTTGTGGCACCTTCTTATCACAGAGAACGCCCGATGCCTGACGCCATTTCAATTAATCGGCTGCAATTCTATGCCTAACATCAGCTATAGAGGGAGTAAATAAATTTGTTAAATTCTTATTCATTCAATATTTGCAAATACCCCATTAACAATTATAAATTTGTGACTCTTGAAAAAAAGATGACTTTCTTGGTAATTAGCCTAAAAACCTCAGCTATAGTCTTCCTAATTATTGAAATGAAAGATGGCATTTTTTTCGCTCAAACATGCATATTGAAATCAAAACTGACAGACATTGTTCATTTTTCCAAGGAAACACTCGTCTACTGGTCCTCTTCACGGTGTCTACCCGAAAGAAACAAGCTAGCCAAGAAGCTGCTTAGATTACTCCCGACACACTCTTTCGGCGAGTGCCTCAACAATGTGGGAGGCCTCAACCGAGCCCTCTCCTTTTACCCAGAGTGCAGAAAGGACCCGAACGCGGCACCTAACTGGTGGGACCATCTCCACTGTGCCATGTCACACTACAAATTCGTTCTCGCCATCGAGAACACGATGACCGAGAGCTACGTGACCGAAAAACTCTTCTACGCTCTCGACTCAGGGGCTGTTCCCATTTATTTCGGGGCCTCCAACGTGTGGGATTTCGTGCCACCTCATTCGATCATAGACGGGACTCAGTTTGGGTCGTTGGATGAATTGGCTTCTTATGTTAAGTCGTTGGCGAACGACCCTGTGGCTTATGCTGAGTACCATGCTTGGAGGAGGTGTGGGGTTTTGGGTAATTATCGGGAGACGAGGGCCACCAGCCTGGACACGTTGGCTTGCAGGGTTTGTGAAGCCGTGAGCAGGAAAAACGGGAGGAATGCGAAAGCTTTGTGAAAACTGAAAAGAAGAAAATAGATGAGATTTTTGGATTGGGAGTGTGTGATTTTGGGAGAGAAGCTGTTTAAGGTATATAGAAATATACAGCCTAACAAGAAAGCAATGAGAATGAGATGTGGAGGACTTGAGCTGTTGGGGATTGGGAAAAAGATGGTACAGATAATGTTTTTTTGCTTCCGAAGTCCTAACTGAGCAATGTCTTGTCTAGAGTTTGCTGACATGTTTGCGGCCTGAGAATGTACAAGATGGGATGTATTCTTAAAAGATGTGCAATTACCTATGAAAAAATAGATTCTAAATTGTTTGTATTTTGAGCATTTGTGTTTTGTATGTCTTCATGATTTTCCATATCTTAAATTTGACATTGCATGTGTGACACATTAATGTGTTAGTACACTTTATATAGTAGGTTCGTATTTCATTTAAGATCATATTCCATAGTCCTATACATTTACATTTCTATTTATATGTCATAATTGTATCCTTGGAAATTCATAACTATTTTTATCCTCACATTCATGGCACGTATTTTCCTCTTCAAGTAAACATATCAATACTATCATCATGGCACATATTCCCCTGTTCGAAAGACCATAGCAATGATTGAGCGCTCACAAATATAATTTACTATAGGCCAAGGGCCGTAAAAAGTAAAACACAAAAAATTCCAACACTCGCTCTTAGGTTAGCGTTATAAGCGAGTCAAGTCGAACTTAAGCTACAGATACTTGAGCTCGGGCTTGGGCTTGAGCCTTTATCGAGTCGAGCTGATCTTTAGTTCAGCTCGATAACTAGTTGAGTCGATACCAAAGGTCTAGCTTGGATTGTTTTCGGGTAACTAATTGAGCAGATATCAAAGTTCTAGCTCGGTTTGTTTTTAAATATTAACAAGTCAAAATCGAGCTAATAATTTAGAAATTACATAAAAACTATTAAGTCTCGAGCCTAACAAAACTTAACGAATCAAGTCGAACTTAACTGAATAAATTGTCGAACAAGTTTAAGTATAGACGAGCCGAGCCAAGTTGTCATGAATCGAATCGAGCTTACACAAGCGATTTGGTTTGCATACCAAATATTTTTGGGTATGAACAACCTGATTAAAACTCGCTACCTAATCAGTAACGTTTAGGGGACAAATGAACTGCAAGTTATTCTGTCCCCCAAATTTTTGGGTAGAACATTTTTTTCAACATGTACTATATTTTTTTTAGAATTCGCAACATATAATACTTTTCTACTTTTCATGATAAAATACCACTTCATGAACATTAATAGTTTGTAATATCACCTATATCTTGACCATACATGTTTCAATTTTACGGATGATAGTATGATAAAGATGTTGACGTTATAAATTATTTATATCTATATATAGATAAGAAGGTTGTGAAAAAATACATGTTGTACAAAAATTTCATATAATAAGAAGTCAAACTATTTAATTAAAAGTCAAAGTTACTATTTATGTATATTGACAGTTAAAAATATTTGTATGGATAAATAGTGCGTTTTGTTAGAAAAATTGTGTGGTAATGATTATTATTATTTTATTATATATATAATTGAAAGCGTTAAGTTGGATTGGATCCAGAGTTTATCCTTATGCAAAACCGTTTTATCCCAGAAGCATTCATATGGAATAATTGAGAATCAAATCGAATAGCGAAAGTGTAACTGATGGATTCATCTTGATTGATTGGATTCAAACTTGAATTTTGTTTGGGATTTTGGAATTTTGAGAATGCTGTGAAAATCGTATTCTCCCCTCTTCTGACATAATGAAGAATAAAACTGATGAAGAATAAAACCGTATTTATCACGACTTTTGGGGACTCCACTCATTAATAATTTTGAGCCAAATTATTTGCTAATAAGGTCACTTAAGTTTAATATTATTATTTGTTACGGTATCAAATAATAATATTACTGAGTGTCCACATCTAATCATTCCATATTTAAATTAAGTTCCTTAACCAATTTATTTATACAATAATTTGATCACTTAATTTTGCTAAACAACACTGTATCAATTACACATATTGAATCCCAAATAGATCTAACAATCTCCCACTGGATTAAATATATTTCTTGATAATACAATATACCTTATGAGCTCAAAATATGGTCATTATTACAGAACTTAAATAATTTAGTCCATTAATTACAACAACAAAGGACTGAAGCAGTTTTCGCCATAGCTAACTATCAATAATCACATAACTAAAAGTACTAAAAAAAATAATGCACAAAGTATCATGAACCAAAACATAATTTCTGATAAGAATAAACACTTTATATATCATCGAACAAAAAGACAAAAAAAATGTGGCATATACTCCCACTAGAGTGAAGCTTCCTCAATATGTAACACACCTATATGAGCAATATGCTTGTGAAATACCATAGGTATTACACCTTTAATTAGGGATATGCAAACATAGATTTTGTCCCTAAGTGTTCGATTTAAATATGACCATTTTGTACCCTCTCCTTCACAACTAGGAACTTAACGCCAATATGCTTTGACATAGACGAGCTCCTGTTGTTGTTGGAGTATAGACGAGGTACCGGAAGTGGGTCAAGACGGACAACTCATTGTACGACCTAGCCAGGCATTAGACTACCGAAGAGTAAAGAGGGTCGGGTGATTTTGTTGGGAGATTTTGATTGAATGTGTGGAGTTACCCGAAGAGGAAGCAACATGTGAAAATGTTAATGACATGCAAAATCAATTCTCGAATTTCATCCTTGAGGACGAGGATTTACTCGAAGGGGACGGGAATGATGGTGACGAGGGTCATCTTTTCAAGAATGCGTACAACCGTGTCCGACGAGCTCGTCTCAAGGAGACGCGGACTGAAGAAGTGTCAAGCTTCGCGCAGTGAGGATCAGTCACGCCGCGACGGCAGCGAGCCATCGTGAAAGTGACCCGCCCCGAAGTCTATCACGTTACAACAGAGACATAGGCTGAACTAGCTATCACGCCGCACCACGAGACCTTCATGAATGGACAATGAACTTAGGCGGGATTACGACAATTGAGGCATGGCGAGAGTAGTTGTAGCATGTAGGATTATATTTTCTTGCTGATTTCAAATTATATCCTAATTGTGTTGTTGATTTTTCTTTTATAAATAAATTAGCAAAAAGTGCTCGTTTTCGAGCACTTATGTCAACCGACGGCCGGGTTAAAACATATTTTTTCTTTACGGTCGATACACGCAACACCTTTCCAACTCCCAGACAATGGTTTGACAAATTCTACACGCCATCTATCCCTTAAAACTTCCCTTTTTTCATTCCTTAATCCACCATTTATATCCATTCCACTTCTTTACCATTTTCTCACACCTCACACACTTTTCCTCTTCAACTTTACCCATCAAGATTTGGTTTTTAACCTTTTTTTCTTCACCTCCCTTTTGTGCAAATCCCTATACAAAATCGATGGACAATACAAATCAATCGTCTTTCTGGCAGTTGTACCACAATCTCCGGCACCAGACCAACACCCTCTCCAATCTCTCCCTCAATGACTCGATCCGGCGAGCCAACTACGCCGCCAAGCGTCCGGTGAACCAGCGCCGGAACTTCGATTTCCGGAACCCAGGAGCTGACGCCGGGTCAAATCTCGCCGGCGACACCAAGACCGATTTCAACGACGTCTTGGACTGGAAGGCACCGATCAACGACAGCCTGGGCGGGCCCAATTTCGTGGCCCAGGTCCCCCGCGACCCAAAGCCCAATTTCAACAACCCAGGGTTTAACAACGGCGCGTGGAAGGCTCCGACCAACGAGAACCTGCGCGGGCCCAATGGTAAATACTCCGGGTTCGGGCCCGGGTTGAACGGCGGGTTCAACAAGGGGATCTACTCCTCGCCGTCGTTGAATTTCAACAGTTACAGCACGGGAAGGGGCTTTGCGAACAACGTGGTGGCGAATGTGAAGGTAATTAAGGGCGGTAAGAATGAGGATAATAATAAAGATAACAAGAATAATGTGAATAATGAGAATATAAATGCGGTGGATAAGAGGTTTAATAAGACCCTGCCGCCAGCAGAAGCCTTGCACAAGAACGAGACAATCATCTCCATCTTCAACAATGATGATACCGTGGCTGAGAATCTCAAGAGGCAACTTTTTGGTACGTGCATCTTACTTTTTCTTTTTTTTTTTTTTTTTTTTTTCCGAA